TGTAGACACAGCTATGTATACAGACACAGACACAGACAGATACAGATACAGATGATTTAGATGTAGATAGAAGATCCATATATAATGTATATCATACCCTTTAAAGCGTACAAGCTTCTTTATATTCTTCACGTCCTGTGACAGATCTATCAGGAAGGCAGCCTAGCAGGGAGTGAAAGGCTCAGGATTGAGAATCAGAGGACTCGAATTTGAATCCCAGCAATGCCAGCTCCATTTACTGGGAGCTTGTGCAATCATTTCACCTCACTGTGCTCCAGTTCATTAATCTGTAAAGTGAAGGGGTCGGCACAGATGCCATCTGTGTTTCCTCTAGCTCTAAGTCTACGAAGCTATTATTTAAGTCCATATCTGAGAGGAAGGGTGACATATTAGGTAATGAAACTAAATTTGAAATAATATTTGAAAAAAAATAACTATAGATGTAGAGTTTAAAGTGATCTTTGAGGCTAGTCAACCATTTTGCAGATGAGAAAATGACATCCAGAAAGGTTAATTGATCAGTTCGATTCAAGGTCACACAGGAAGTAAGAGGTAAAGAGGTACATGTAGGATTTGAAGCTGGGTACCAAAAATTCAAATTCTTAGTTCTTTCACCTCTGACAGTCATTATCTGTGTGAGCATGGGCAAATCACTCAATGTTTCAGAGCCTCAGTTTTCTCATCTGTAAAATGAGGCTAAGGGCTAATGTCAGGGCCAAATGAGATAATGTATATAGTCTTTGCAAACGATAAAATTATAGAAATGGAAGCAGGGAAGGAGGCGGTCAGTAAATGCAGATTGCTACACCCCTCCCCCCACCACTGAGAGCAACACTGGAGGGATTGGAACAATGCGAGACCACACGTCTGACCAGGAGCACAGAGAGGCATGCACCAACAGATAGGTGCAGAAAGACAGACAGCCAAGGGAGCACACGCGGCAAGGTGCATGACCCCAAGAAGAGAATTCCACTGGCCAGGAAGTGCGAGTTTACCCAGCAGCCTTCTCTATGGGTGCATCTCACTACCATCAGCACACTGTTAGGTGCGGTTCATACTCCTGAAATATAGAAATACTATTTAAAAAATATAGAAAAGAAAGAAAGAGAGAAAGAGAGAAAGAGAGAGAGAGAGAGAGAGAGAGAGAGAGAGAGAGAGAGAGAGAGAGAGAGAGAGAGGAGAGAGAGGAGAGAGAGGAAGAAAGAAAGAAAGAAAGAAAGAAAGAAAGAAAGGAAGGAAGGAAGGAAGGAAGGAAGGAAGGAAGGAAGGAAGGAAGGAAGGAAGGAAGGAAGGAAGGAAGGAAGGAAGGAAGGAAGGAAGGAAGGAAGGAAGGAAGGAAGGAGAGACAGAAAGAAAGACAGAAAGAAAGAAAGAAAGAAAGAAAGAAGAAGAAAGGAAGGAAGGAAGGAAGGAAGGAAGGAAGGAAGGAGGAAGGAAGGAAGGAAGGAAGGAAAGGAAGGAAGGAAGGAAGGAAGGAGAAAGAAAGAAAGAAAGAAAGAAAGAAAGAAAGAAAGAAAGAAAGAAAGAAAGAAAGAAAGAAAGAAAGAAGAAAGAAAAGAAAGAAAAGAAAGAAAGAAAGAAAGAGAAAGGAAGGAAGGAAGGAAGGAAGGAAGGAAGGAAGGAGGAAGGAAGGAAGGAAGGAAGGAAGGAAGGAAGGAAGGAAGGAAGGAAGGAAGGAAGGAAGAAAGGAAGAAAGAAAGAAAGAAAGAAAGAAAGAAAGAAAGAAAGAAAGAAAGAAAGAAAGAAAGAAAGAAAGAAAGAGAAAGAAAGAAAGAAAGAAAGAAAGAAAGAAAGAAGAAAGAAAGAAGGAAGGAAGGAAGGAAGGAAGGAAGGAAGGAAGGAAGGAAGGAAGGAAGGAAGGAAGGAAGGAAGGAAGGAAGGAAGGAAGGAAGGAAGGAGAGAAAGAGAGAAAGAGAGAAAGAGAGAAAGAAAGAAAGAAAGATAGAAATACTAAAATAAGAAATAGAAATTCTAAAAAAAGAAATATAGACATACTAAAAAAGAAATATAGAAATAATAAAAGAACTATAGAAATACTAAAAAAAGAAATACAGAAATACTAAAAAAAAAGAAAGAAAAAAGAAATATAGAAATACCCGTCCTGTACACACACACACTCACACACATCCACTTATACACTCTCACACACACACACATACACACACATATTCAAACATACACACACACATATTCAAATACACTCACACACACTCATACACTCTCTCTCACACACACTCACACATATCCCCTTATACATTCTCATACACACATACACACACATATTCAAACACACACACACTCTCTCTGAAACACACACTCTCACACACACATATTCAAACACATTCACACACAGTCATACTCTCTCTTACACACACTCACACACACATACTTATACACACTCACACACATATTCAAACACATTCATACACACTCATACTCTCTCTCTCTCTCTCACACACACACACACACACACACACTCACACTCACACACTCAGAAAGAGGCAGCATGATGTAATGAATCCTGAGCTGACCTCAGAGGCAGGCTGACCTGGGTCCAAGGCTCACCTCTGCTCCACACGAGCTACGGCATCTTTGGTAAGTGAACCTCTCACTATCTCAAAAACCTCTCAAAGACTGGAAGCTACAGAAAAAGTAGGGAAAGTGCCTCATGGAGATCTCCCAATGCTGATGAAATCACAAGTTTGATAATTTTTAAAAACCCATATTCATGTGGAAGTGAGGACCTAGAGATGCAGAGAATCTTGAAGGAAACCTAGCCCATCCTTCTCACTTTACAAAATGAGGAAACTGAGGCCCAGAAAGGTTCAATGATTTGGCAAGGTCAAATAGAGAACAAATAGGAAGCTCTTTGGATTCATATCCAGAACTCTTCACAATATTCCAAACTGTCTGCACATGAAAAAGTTATTCTGATCATTTATTTTTAACATTAAAAAAAATCAACATAATTAAAGCAGCCACCACAGACCATATTTAAAAGAACAAATCCTATAGCACCAGATTCGTCTGTGGCTGATGGCTATTGAGACAGCAGGTGCATTTAATTATTACATTTGCGTGGAAAATGTCACGCAAAATCTCCCCCATGGTGGGACCTTCCATCAACAATCCCACAAACTGGATTAGGCAGTATAAGAATTATTATGCCCATTTGACAGATGAGGAGCTTGAGACTCAGAGAGGTTAGGTAGCCTCTCCAATGTTACACAGCCAAGAAGTGTCCAAGCTAGGATTGTAGTACACTGTGCAGCTGTGCAGGCTTTTGCATATTTCTTCCTTTAGAACAGACTTCTTCTTATATGGAATATTTTTTAAAATAGATAAACAACAGCTAAGAATTTAGATTGCCCAACAGTTTTCTAATCTATTCAGTCTCTATTACCTAAAGATGGAAGCCGTTTAACAAAGCATAGAGCCAAGTGTTGTAAGGGAAACATCAATGGACTTGGGACCTGGGTTCAAATTCTACCTCTGACATGGATTGGCTGAGTCACCCTAAATGAATCACTCCCTTTTCAGTGATAGTTTCCATGTCTGTAACAGGGACAAGGATTAGATCTGTGGAATCATTGGTACAGAGAACTCCCAAGTGAGCAGAGTCCCTCTACCACTTCAGATCAGCACCTTCTTTGCAACTAATAGTCTTGGAGAGTTGTGTGGCCACTCTTTAAGGGCCATTAAGAATCTGCCCAGATCACACAGCCAGTATGTGCTAGAAAAGGGACCAGAATCAAGCCGTTTCTGTCTCCAAGACCAGTTCTTTATCTGCTAAGTCATGGTTCTTCTCCAATGTCAGTCAATTTATCAAAAAGCATTTAATTCTAGTGATTATCTCCAGTTTATCTTGTCTGAATCTTTATGGGTTATCTCCACCATTAGACTGTAAGCTCCTTGTAGGCAGCAACTCCTTCTTTGTATTCTTAGTGCTTGGCACAGACCCGGCACATAGTAGGTGCTTAATAAATGTGTATTAACTGGTCAACTATTAAACCCTTATAGTCAGGCACTAGGCTAAGTACTAGGGATGCAAAGAAAGGTAGATACATGTCCCCCCAACCCCATCAAAGACCTCCCAGGCTCATAGGGAAGGTGACAGGCAAACTCAACAGGGCAATTGTGAAAGGCAAATGATAAAATTATGGAAATTCCTTTCTGAACACTAAAATGCTACTTAAATGGGGGCAATTTTTAATGTAGACTTTAATATGAACTGGAACCAAGGTTAAGCACAGCCGTCTCTACTCAAGCACACACTGGAGCAAACCCTTATGTGGAATATTCTCTCTCCTGGCACACAGAAGGCACATAATAAATGCTTGTTCCATTGAACTGAGCTGGCTCTTCTTCTGGCTTCACAATTTTATTGGGCACAGGGTCATAGGTGCCTTTTTTGTCCCCAAATATGCTAAAGTTGACATTCTACGTGGTTGAGAACTCAGATATACAAAGAGATGTGTTTCTCCCTAAGACGGACTTCTATTCCCCAGAAATAAAGCATAATTCACAGCAATCCCAAAATCAAAGCAAAAACCTTTAAAATGGGATTTTTAATAGCTTCATCAACCTTTGTATAGATCTCTACTGAGCAAAGATGCATAACGGAACCAAATTGGAGAGCCATATTTGAAAATGAAGGTCTTCAGGGAAATTAAAAATGCACATTTCTGTTTTCCATTACATCTGATTAAGGTAGATGCGATACCAAATTGGCACACAGAGGTAACAGTGCACACCTTCTACCCTGAGGAGACACAAATGAACCCAGATGATGGGGTCATCAATGGTGTTAGGTTTTCATATTTTTGTTTTTCTCAGCACCATTTTGAAATTACCCTTAATGGGATCACATTGTACACATGCTGGTTTCCAGAGAATGAGATTCAATGACGCACAGTTCTGGGTATCTTTGACGCCGTCATGGCAACATCCAAGGGCAAAAGATCCTCCGGTGAATTTTGGGAATCGATGCACAAGCTTACCTGTAAGTGCTGGGAGTTGTCCGCCATGTTATCCTCCCTCCTTCGCACTTCTTCCAATAACTGGGCATTCTTCTTTTTTTCCAGTTGTTGGTTGTGTTTAAGGTTGGCCACTTTCTTATTCTGGTCTTTCATATGTCTAAGAAAAGCATACATGAACACTTGTGAATTCCAAGGGTGCAGTAATAGATGAACATCACAGAAGTGAGACCACTCTTTGTATTACTTTGATAACTGTATAGCAGAAATAGATGGGATAAAATAAAAAGCACACATTATTAACTTTCTTTTAAAAGAGCAGTTAAAAATAGGTTCAATTAGTACCCTCAGACAAATACTACTCTTTGGGCTAAATAGGTTACACATTAACCTTTACCCAAATACATCAAAGGTGCATACTTCATTGTTTTGGGACTTCTGCCCAACAATATCTGCAGCTCAGTGGATAAGTCTTAGAGAGATACTTGAGAACCAGAGAGGTGGCTCTAATGTCATGGAGCATATGCATGAGCAGGCTCAGTGGATACAGCACCGGACTTGGAGTCAGGAAGACCTGGGTTCAAGTCTCGCCTCAGATACTAGCTGTGTTACCCTCAGCAAGGCATTTAATCTCTGTGATGCCTTTGTTTCCTCAAATGTAAAGTTGGGATAATAATAGCACATTCCTCCCAGTGTTGGTGTGAGGATCAAATGAAGTTTGTAAAGTACTAGTACAGTGGCTGGAACATAGTAGGCGCTTAATAAATAGTTGTTCCTTTCTCTCCCTTTCTCATCCACTATTAGCTTTTCTACCTCTTGAAATTATTTTGCATTACTTTGTATTTATTTTCTTGGGTATATGTTGTCTCCCCTTAATATGATTTAATCTCATTGGGAGAAGGAAATCTCTTGTTTTAATATATATATCCCCAGTTTTTAGCATAGTACACCGAGTAAATACTTAAAACCTATTTGTTAAATTGAATGGAATTCCAGACTCCCAGTCCAGCTCTTTACCCCCTAAAGTACACAGCTTCCCAATTAATCAGTTGAGTGAAGGAAAAAGAATCATGGACCACAAGGAAGTGCAGAACACATGTCGAAATACCAAAGTCCAGGATTTTAGGACAAACTAGTTAATGAGAAGATTAAAGAACGATAGTGAAAATCCAGGTTTTTGCAGAAGGTGACACCAGTACTTCCATCTACAATATGAGATATTTTTTGTTCCTGTAATGACAGCAACTGCTTACACAACATTGTTGTTTAAAGACTACAATGTTTTTTAAGAGAGATCAAATAAACAAATCAAATTTTTAAAAATTTTGCAGGGTGTGAAGGGAGGAAATTATAAAGGAAATTATGTTCAAAATCCAGATATTCCCGAAATTTAGGTCAGTGCTCTATCTAGTACACCACCCTGCTTCTCATATACAACATATCTAGATTTAATCCATCGAGGGGTCATAGATCAGAAGCTGGAAGGGACTGGAGAAGCCACAGAACCTGACCCCCCCATTTTACAGATGAGGAGACTGAGAGTTATCAAAATGAAGTGGTCCCAAAGTCACACAGATAGTAACTGTGTGACTGAAAAAAAAAACTGTGATTGGAGAAAAAAGGTGGGATTTGAACCTGGGTCTTGTGATTCCAAAATTCAGCCTTCTTTCTTCTCCATCACACTATGTAACTAGAGGAAGCAAGGAATGATTTGTCCTCGTTGTTTGTTTGCTCACTTAATTTTGTCGTGTTTTGTCATTCTTTGTAAGATTAGTACTTAGCACAGAGCCTGGCACATAGCAGGTGCTTAATAAATGCTTATTGGAAAGGCCTCTCGCATGCTGAGTGCATCTTCTATTAGGGAGATAAGGGAGAGGAATAAAACTGCACAGGATTAAAGGCATGCCCATTACGCCCTTGGTCCCAGACAAGGGAACAGACCACACCAATGCAATCTGAGACTTAGTGGAGCACACAAATGGAAAATCCTAGGCAACCAATGAGTGGAGCTGTCCTACAGAGAATCAATAACTTTGCCAAAGGAATTAAGATAATCATTTTCCTTCTAAGAACTCAAAGACCTTCAAGAATAAAGCACAAAAAATAAACCAACTGTGCAACAACGTCATTGGCCCCTGCATCTGACCACAACTGCTCAAAGAAACCCAGAGCTCATAAATCAATCTGTTGGACCTATGACTCCTCTTCATTATAACTCTATAAATGTACAAGGTATGGTATGTAGGGTCAACCAGAACATTCTTTTAGGATGATGTCCCAAAAGGAAAAGAAGCACTGAGGCCTTCGTCCTAAATTCCTAATCCTCCTATCTCAGTTACCAGACGTGATAACTGAGGTATTGCTGGGGCGGGGTATCTCAAGGCTGAGCTGCTCCCTATGAGGTAAGTGCATCTTTCCTTAAGGTAGACTTTTTTCTTCAAAGAAATGCCATAATAAAAAACAAAGTCAAAAGATACTAGCCACCATTACTGAGCCCAATGGGTAGAAGAACCCAGGGGTATACTGGGTCTCCCTTTAACACAGCCCTCTGTCTCCGGAAGGCAGCCTCACAAACCAAGGACATATCAACTTCCAAAATTCAGTAACCAAGAAGGAATTAACCTTCAATTAGTGAGCTTTATTACTGACCAGTGAAAACAGTCTATAGCTCCAGTCCTTGGGCAGGCAGAGTGATTATTTTCTGTAGCAAATGCTGCCAATTCAACTTGAAAATTGGGAAAGAGTTCCATAATTCTTAATGTGTTTATTGGCATTGAAAGGTAACTTGATAAAATGCCCTTGGGCCCAATGTCAAAAGGCCTAGGGGTAGGGCCAAGATGCTCCTGCCGCTTCTAAAACCCTGCTTTGCAGAGGCTTACTAACCTTTCTGCTCGTGTCCATCCTTCTTTCTGTCCCTGACTTACCTCCTGGATGGTCTACCACCTTCTCTCATCATTCTAGGACCCTCTCTCTCTCTCTCTCTCTCTCTCTCTCTCTCTCTCTCTCTCTCTCTTCTCTCTCTCTCTCTCTCTCTCTCTCTCTCTCCTTCCTTCCCTTCCTCCCTATCTCTCTCTCTCTCCCTCCCTCTCCTCCATTCCCTGAAATTCAGCAAACATCTATTAAGTATCTACTAGAAGCAAGACCCCATATTAGGTCATGGGGATACAAAAATAAAACACAGTCCCTTACTCCACTGAGCTTAAAATTCTACTACAAAATTCATTTATTTAATCTGTTAAGTAAATTGGTGACAGCTCTTCCCTACGCTTGAGAAAAATGCTATCCTAGGTTCCAGGTATGTTGTGGGTCAGAATCCTCTCCAAACCACAGTTCACAAGCCCCTACTGATGTGTTTACTTTTACTAGTGAACCAGAGATTATAGCTAGTTCCCAGAAAAGGCATTGAAATAGTATAGCAATAAAAGTAACAACAGAACATTCTCCCCTATAAACACTGAGCTTATTCTTCAATAAATAAACATGCCCTCAGTGGGAAAAGTGGACCTAAAGGGATCACATGTGAGGTATATACAAACAAGGAGCACACACAGCCAGGGTATCTGCATGTACAGGAGGAGAGCACACACAAGGAAGACATGGGGTTAGTGCACATATATGGAGTTGAATCTCACACCTGTGATATAACAGAGTTACAGGTCTCTTCTGATAATACTATTGTCCTGTCTTCTGCTAAGCCCATCCCTTGATTGACATCAAATCTTTGGGACCACTTCACTTTGATAACTCTCAGTCTCCTCAATCAAATCTCTAATCCATCAATTCTTCAATTAGATAGCTATACTCTATATCCCAAAGAGATCAAACAAATCGGAAAAGGACCCACATGTACAAAAATATTCATAGCAGCTCTTTTTGTGGTGGCAAAGAATTGGAAATTGAGAGGATGCCCATCCATTGGGGAATGGCTGAGCAAGTTGTGGTATATGAATGTAATGGAATACTATTGTTCTATAAGAAATGATGAACAGGCTGACCTCAGAAAAACCTGGGAAGACTTATATGGTCTGATGCTGAGTGAAGTGAGCAGAACCAAGAGGACTTTGTATACAATAGCAGCCACGTTATGCAATGACTAAGAATGTTAAACTGAACCCTTCTCAGCATTATGAGGATCTAAGACATCTCCAGAGGCCTCGGGATGGAAAATGCTGTCCACATCCAAAGAAAGAACTATGGAAGTCGAATCACTCTCACTTATTTTTACCTTAAGTTGAATTTTGTTTCATCTTTCTGATGGTTCCTCCTATTGGTTTTAATTTTTACTTACAACTTCACTAATGTGAAAATATGTTTAATGGGTATGTAAATGTAAAGCCTATGTCAGATTGTGTGCCGTCTTGGGGAGGGTGGGGGGGAGAAAAAGGGAGAAAAAATTTTCAACTCAAAAGCATATAGAAAAAAAATTTTTTTTAAATTTAAAAAAACAAAAAAAAATTAGATAGCTGTACTCAAGGTCAACAAAAATACAGTCTACCAGTACTATTAGTTATCATCTATTAGGGATACTGTAGTTGGTAAGCTTGCAGTGGAATATTATGGCTCTTTCATCTCCCACTGGGACTAACCTATAGCCTTTATCTATAACACTGCCTTATCCATGCCACCTGCTATTCTATCCATCATTGACTTGGGGTGATGTGGTTGGTAAGCCTGTCCCTGCAGGTGGAGATCACACAGCACTTCTTAGACAGCTCTCACCCTGTGACTATGAGCTCTTCCCTCAGACAGGCTGAGCATAAAAGTTAGCAGTGTCCCTGGCTAAGACTATATCTGCATAATTGGGTGGATCAGGATAAGCTTTGAAGAAATCAGGGGGTTTTAAGTAGTAGAGGTGAGGAAAGTCACGCCTATTCTTAGGTCACTAAATGTTACTAGAGAGAATATCACAAACCTGTGTTGCTGGGATCTCTAGAGGACTTCCTAGTCCGAACTAGTTCATGGCTGCCCCTTTTCTCTTCTTCAATTGGCTCACTAACATGCTTCCACCATGGCTTTTCAAACTTCTCTCAAGACCCCAACTCCACCCCTTCTCCCCTCACTGTCAGGATGCTCTTGTCTACTATTTCATTGAGAAGACAGAGAGCATCTCAGCTCCCTACCCCCTGCTATAATTCTCACAGGGCCCTCACCTCTCCTCTT